ACATGTGCAATATTGATGAATGCCCTGTTAAATTAAGACAGGAAGAGTAAGTTTGCAGTTGATCTTTGAAAGACCTGTCCGTAGTTGTAATGGCATGGCCTTAAATGTATTGTATAGTTATCACCCAACAGTGAAGTTGGCAGCCATTTTTTATTCTGTCAATATCGCCTTGTTTGGGTAGAAGCATTAATAAAGTACAGCGACAATACTTAGATCTTTGCCAATAACGACCCAGAACGTTTAAAAAACTGACAGGGGAATCCATCATTTCCTGGATTGTTGAGATATTAGATTTTTATCGCTCCCATTTTCCCTAAGGAAAAAAAGTACCGGTTACACATGTGTTGCTTCCATTGACGAAATTATGACAAACATGGATGGCTGCACCGCGCATGCGCTGTGCTAGTAACTCATTCAAAGGTTTGTATACTGGCAAATTGTGCATCGATTTTATTCATTTTTTCAGGGTTAGCTTTTGTTGTATTCTCCTTTTGTTTCTTTCATGAACAAATATGCTGAGTGATTAACTTTATTTTAATCTTACCTACATCTCACCAGAGCTGGAAAGAATGAAAGCCATGCTTGGTTTTAGTCTACTGAGACCACAAAAGTCTGAAAATGTATTTCTATATTCGAGGTCAGATAATACTTGTGTTCGTACATCGAGTGTTATCTCCTAATAAGACTAATTCAACAGGCGCGTGATCTGATAGAAGGTTATTAACTATTGATATGAATCGAACTCGTGGACTGAACGTTATTCTTAGAGATATAAAAACGACCAAGACAAGTAGAAACATTATAATTCACTCTTTGCCTAAGTAAAATTTTTCCTCGACTAATTTTAAGCGCTGATACTTTTCGTGATTAAGTGGTTGTCAGGTTCTTTATTATTGAAATCGCCACCCATAAAATTTCGACTATCAGTTATTGGGTTTAACAGACGCTTAAATAACACCATTCCTTCCCATTAACAGGAGAACACATTGATTATATTGCACTTTGTATCATTGACCGTCATATTTGCATACAAACGCCCACCTGTGACATTTTCAGAAGGGAGTATGGTGCAATTTCTCCCTTGGGGAAAGTATGGGAACACCACTATAATTCGTGTTGTCATGAGAAAACTGAATACCACCAACTTGAAGCCATAACAGTCGCCTTACCACCTCGTGAGATATTTTCCTGCAAGATATGTTTCCTGCAAGAGGTAGATTCTGTCATAATATCATATAAATACATTTTTAATTTGAAATCTTCTCCAGCTATTGAGCATATGCGTTGCATACTAGAGTGAGACTGATTATACTGTCAAGCAGACCATTGGTTCATGTATTGTCGTCAACCAACAAAGTGATTCCTGTTGATATTTGAGAGAATGGTGAAGCCAGCCATTCAACCAGTGCACCAGCTAGAAATATCCTGGAATACCTGATTCTAGTGTATTTTACAATAAAAATGCCGTCCTTGATTGAATTACAAAATAACCGCACGTGCATATGTATCAGATATGCTATTAAATATTTGTAAGGTTTGAAGAGATTTTGTCTACGGTGTCCGAAATACAGCTCCGGGCGCACGTTATTCCTATTTAGTTAAGCTCACGAATTACATGTTTCAAAGACAAACGTCCAGTACTTAAATGGCTGAATGCGTTTTCGTTAATAACATCAGTGTTTGATTTCTTCAAGTTGACCATTGTTTTCTGGGTCTTCTTTAGGTTTGTGTCACTATTGGTTCTGTCAATCGTTCCGGTCTACACAATGCCCCTTAATTTGTGTATGTCGGTCTTTAATACTAAAATATATTACGGGATTATTACTTAGAAAGCCAAATTGTTAAATTTGAACCAATTGCTAATAACTTTTTCTGTTTTAAAATGATAATTAGATAAGAATAATCACACGCATGCGCGGCCAATAAACAGCTCTGACGACCGTCTGCGGGCGTTCTCCGGACCCTCAAATATTTATAAAAAAACAACTGTTAATTGGCCATTTTAAATCTAAGTTGCAAACCTTTGACCTGAATAAAATCATGAAAAAGTGGACATGCATCAGTACGTACAATGGGTGATAGCAATACCAATTCTAAGTAATAAATGTTGACAACATATGGACATACACTTTAATGGCATAAAGGGGCGGAAACAAGATTTTTTACGGCAGACTAAGTTAATGATTTTTTTATATTATACAAAAACAAATTGAATACATTTTTCAACGAGGGGGGGGGGGTCCGGACCCCAAGAACCCCCTAGATCTGCCACTGGCTTCCGTCGGTCATTTTAAATCAAGTAACAAAATAAGCTGTATGATGTCACTGTCAGTCATCGGCTGAGACAAGCTTGAAAAACGATTAATGACATGTCGAAACATTTTGAGAAAATATCCGGCAGCTCATCAAAAGCTACAAATAGACTCTTCGATGTGCTAATGTAGATGTAAATATCCATTAAAAAACCATTAAAATAAACCATAATTGATCAAGCATAACTAAAACGGTAATTGTGGTCAGGTGAAATAGCTCATACATAACATCAACCCAAACAACATAATGACCCCCAAAGAAATAATTTTCTCAATTTCTGACAACAGATTCTATGATGTCATACCTTACCCATAATCCTTTGCTCGAAAATCAAGACTGACTACATAATACTGATGAAAAAATGAATATCTAGAGAATGAAAAGTGATATAAAAAAACTGTAAATTGCATTCTCCTACATATGCAGAGCTTTTTCTTTAGGGGTCACTATGTTGTTTGGGTTGATGTTTCCTTTAAATAACAAAAAGGAACAAGGTATGTAAATGGTATATATTTTTCGTAAAAGCAGTGAAACAATCATTACGTCACGTTCATTACTATCGCATGGGTTAACTCTTTCACAGTAAATGGATACCACTTAGCTTATGTATTTGTCCTTAGAACAGTCTACTCTTGGTGGATGGTTTACTTTAGACACGGTTTTAGTAACCGTGCTTTAGACGATCGCCCTCTGCTGCAACGTTTATTTGCATAAATGTGTGACTGGTACGCGATATTTCCTAAATATCAGTCATATCTCCTTGGTTGGTAGAGTGCGCCCTCATTCACGGGGTTGTGTTAATTTGTATTTCATGTTTTTAAAATTAGTTGTGCCAGGTGTTCGACTTTGAATGTTACGGCAAGACAATATGCAAATTATAAGTGCTAACTGAACCTACGGTGTCCGATAACCTAGTTTCATCTTTGGGACTACGTAATTCGAATTCCGCATGCAGGTACATCTGTTTACTATGAAGAAAGCGCCGTCTTGGAATCTGTCTACCAGTTGTCAATTTTGTAGGGCAGCAGCTCAAATTTCACTACTTCAAGTTTATGCATAAATTAACACCCAGGCCAGTTGTCTGTACGATTGTTGTAACACTGTTCAACCAAAAACAATGTCCCGACGGCGTTTTAAGATAAACACATTGTCAAGCATTTGTGAAAATTTCAAAACAAAAGGTCAAAGCGTCTAGGAGCTAGCTAACAATTCACTCAGTACGAAGTTTGCTAATGCTCATAATTAAAATGGCTGTAACAGTTCCAAATTTAAATGTATTATCGTTTTATTAAAAGTTAAATACAGTGCATATTATGGAGATCCCGTCATTTCTTTTTTTTACCATGTTTCTTTTTTATTATTTATATACAGCCTTGCTTAATCTTGCTAAGCATTCAAAAGAGAGAATGTTTGCACCTGTTATCTATATTTAAAATCGTTTTTTTGAGTATGTTCCACTATTCACAATTCTACACAATGTTAACAGTCTGTAGCCAAGACTGTTTGGATAATAAAAAGCAAAAAAAAAGTGCCCACAAACCTGCATCTCTACCTTAAAAGATTTCTGAATGGCGCCATCGGTGTTCGTGGCGTTTGATTATACATTACGTTTCAGGATATCACAATCTTCAATTGTACACATTGCAAGAATGTAAACGTTGACAATTAACACCATTCTGCCAGTCACTGGGGATCATTAAAATTGAACTTACACAAAAATAAAAAATGAAATAAATATATAGTAATATTATGTATTATTATACATCTGTCACCGTACGTTACAGCGTGTCATAATTTTGCGGTATTTTACGGGGTACTTTCATCCTACCATATTAGGAAATGCGCGTAATGATTACGCGCGTAAGCGTACTGTGATAATAAAAACAAACATGGCTGCCACCAGGGTTGGGGCAGGACTCTACACAAAGAAGTTCATTGATTCTGATCTAAACTTTTTGGATTTGGGCATATCCCATGATGTATTCTTGGAAGGAAAAGATGTATTATAATAATAATAAGGTTATTACGAGGATACCTCATACTATTTTGTAAATGCGTTGAACAAAAGAAATTCAGAAATCAACGTAAATTGCATAAGAGAACAATAAACTTCTGAGCTAAGTTTACCAGAAGTCAAATAATTCTTGAGGAATCATTTTACTTTTTAGTATATCCCCAGTTTCGGTAACTAAACTTTACTATAATAACTTAATGCGTATCGCCAGCAGAGGATGCGTCACCAAATTTTGCTTGGGGAAGGGGCGAGATCTGCTCACTAAACTCGCTCCGAAGACGCGACCTTAATAGGGGGTCCGGGGCATGCTCCTCCTTAGAAATGCTGAAATCTAAACTTTCTTAAACACTATTTCCAAAGTATTTTAAGAGGAAAATTTTGCTGACACAAGGCGTTTTAGTTTGATTATGGAGGGGCGATGCATCCTGAGCCATTGTTTGTTTGTTTGTTTGCTGCAGGCAGACGATACAGTGTATAATGAGTAGATGCCAAATAATGTATTACGAGAGCATATGGATTGTGTAATATACTAATGAATTTTCGTTATTATAATCCCATGAACAATATTTGTGACGTGACGAAGGCGAAAACAATGGATATTTCTGCTAAATATAGCCTTCACTTAGTCTACAATGTAGGATGGATAATAGGAAAATAACCAGACACGTGACAGTTTAGACTTGTACATTTCATTTTATTTCATATTTCAACATTCAGCATCATGTAAATTATATGTTTAGATTAACAGTTTGTACATATAACACAACACGCATGGGTCTTCATTCCATTAGACATTTCTAGATATTGTAATGATTACAAAAATAACGTTTTTACAATGAATATCTGGCTGTATTTACAATTCAAATTGGAAAGACATGTAGTGTGAGTGTACGTTGTCATTTTGTGCTCACAATGTCGCACTGATTATATTTATCGGTATTCGGGTCTAACAATGCTTTCCTAATTATAGTGTTTGATTAGATGCTATTTTCAATAGAGGTTAAATTTATTGCAAACTGGGATCTAACCAGACTATTCGACTATGGATTCTCATTAGCATGTCAGCCTATGTGAAGTATCAGACATGCAATTTGACTGACCGTTAGTTTGTGATCGGGTGCGTCATCGCAGTCGGATGACCTTTGCTGTCGTATATGGCGTACTCTCGTAATTGCACTAATGTGAGTTACGCAGTCTCCAATGCGTCTTTTAATGAGGACGTAACATCATGGGAGTGGTAAAAAGGGCACTCTGTTAAAATCAAATTTACGTTTTCAGTTATACTTCTACAGTGAAGAAGAATAACCAGGTTGAATTACTTAAAAACATACAGATTTGAAGATATTAAAGTAAAACAAATTTGCAGCATTTCATTTTTTTATTATTACAAACAACTAAAAAACCGAAATTAACGTGTCATATCCATGCTTAATTATAGATATTGTACAGGTATACGAATCAGAAAAGCGTGACCTATCATATCAGTTCAACATTCTTTTCACATTATATTCATTCAATTTTCATTAAATTCATTCATTTCCTGAAATGCAACAAAACAACGCTGATTAGATGGTCGTATACGCCGTAGCAGATTGACAGACTGAGCTCAAACTGACAAGTCTGTTCCTTCATAAAACGTATCCGGCTGATATTAAGTTTTCGACTCGATACTCGAGTAAGATATTATATGTAGTGGTTATCATTGTCGCCTTCACACATGAGCACAAATATATAGATGTTATTATTTTCCAAAGAAACTAAATGTACTTAGAAGTCCTCACTATATTAACAAATTATTTAGGATCCCCACCCGCACATTGATAAAAATACACGGAATTTATTTTTAAGAAATTGTGCTCCTGGACTTAAACAGGAGGTCACCGGCGTAGTTTTCCAAACAAAGATTATGTTTCTATTTTAATGAATGGTCGCCATTTCGTGAGTAACAGTACCTGGAGATATTATGCCATCTCTATAATTGTGCGCTGCTAGCATAAGAGGAACAAATTTCATTTTGTTTTAACAGTGTGCTCGATGCAATCGCCCCAATTTTTTTAAATAATATTTAGCCAGGTCTCTCGAAATACTAAACTTGTAGCACTCGAACGAATGCTGTTTCATGTTAGCATGAATATATAGCTTCACGTTTGAACGCAAACACACCATGTTCAATTTCATGTAACATATGACTAACTTTGTCTCTTACGAGTCGACAAAGCATGTACTAAGCTTTAATACACCCAATCAAGCAGAAAATTCTATACACCCAATAAATCTTGTTTATAAAAAGCGAGGAATTTAAAATGTCCCGGTTTCTTACATGTAAATGTTGCGAGTTAATTTCACCTGAAATACATGTACATACATTTCATACACACTACGTTTTTCAATTGGGTTTTCATAAATTTATATATAGATATATACATTCAAGTATTGCTTTCTGACAGTTGTAACATGTGATTACTTCAATAATATTTTACTTGTATCTTTATTGCACTATTTCAGTATCGCTATAAACAAAAACTATACGTAATCTTGTGGCTATTGTCCTGTTAGTTTCTTATCGTGGAATCATTTGGCAATATCAACTATAAATGACATACTGCGGTTGTTATAAGGCATGTAAAAAACATACATTTGTGGATCGGTTTGCAAGGAACTTTTTAGCGATGCACGCCGAGTTTAAATGAAGTATTTGTGTCGCGTCATTAATGATCACCTAATTGACATGATGTATCTTAGGTATTGTGCTCATTCCTGGTAGTAGCATTGGTTAAACTGATTTTTTGTATTCACTATCTGAGTGTGATACGGTGAATAGAAACTGATTTCAACACCTGTGGGCATCATAAATGGGGGTCGAATTTAATGATCAATGTGCTACGTGATGAGAATAATTACATTTTGTCTCATATTGTCTTGCAGCAGACTATACCGACAGATAATGTACATTCAGTACTATAGTAAAAGCAGTTCTATGAAAATGTCCAACAAACAGTATTGCTGTTTTATATTTCAGTGGGATTTGGCGAGTCATTGTATTTTTAATAAATAAATGAGCAAATGAAATAATTATTTATTAGTTAACATCTGACGTAATATGCATCTACTATGGCAATTGATTATTTGACACATGTTCAACCACATTTATGAGAAACTGTACGCGCAGATGGATATATGGTGGCTAATTATAGGAGCATAATGGCGTAGACCTGCGCCAGTGTTAACTGTTAGTGTATGCAGGAGTTATTTCATGACATCAGACGATCATATGTCCTTCCCCAGTCGTTCAATTTCTTGGATAAGAAAATCAAGATCAGATCGTCGGACAGCAGCGTTCGACACAACTAAGCGAAAAAAGTTAACTTTATCATCTAGCGGTTGGTACCCAACCATTGTGCTACCACACTCCATCATACGAGCTTTGATTATTGGAGCAACCTGCGGGAAAGCAAACAAACCATAATTAAATCGTGTATATTCTCCTAGATCGCATGTAGAGTGCCAAAAGGAGATTGTAGTGGCAATTAGACGACGGCTTGAATATTCTTGTTTATCGCCCACCTGTGCCCTTGCGACCTCACCACGAATGGGCGACGATGTTATATTGTCTCTCAATCAATGCTATGCGTCATGTTACTTAACTTGCAAATAATAAAATTGCAATTTAGTCTATTTCTCTGAACGGATATAAAATCTGCTTCACGGAACACTTCATTATGAACTCCCCAGGTATGATAAAATTGATAAAACACACTTTTCTCTGAGTGTCTGCTCCTAGTATTTCCATGGAGCACCACTCATAAACGTGCATTTGTTATCTCTGTTGAAAGGTGCGGCTTTCAGAAATTCGCCTTTGACGATGCGTCTAACTGAATATGCAATTGATAATATATATTTCAGATATATATGTAAATAACACATTCACAATTAAGAATTGATTTTTTGCTTAGTTATTCTCCGAACCGTTCCCAATTAAAACGGCAAGTGTGGGTTTCTGTTATGACGACTTCGGACCTGAATCGATTATATATAAGAAGAACAAATATGCGCTTTCCTGGCGTTGCTTTGTCGCATAGAGACGTTGATTACTTACTTGATTCAGCCGCTGCTTCTTCTCTGCTGCATCCTTCATCAATCGCATCCGTGGGGGGACGTACCAGAAACAAATATTTGTAAACTCGGGCTGCAATTAAAAGAACATGATAATGCCTGATAATGTGTCACAGTCGCCACGGAGCGCGCGTTCTAATCCCATGCAAACAGCGTATACATCGATTGCAAGGAACCCATATCTAACAGGGCGCTGCGTGATAACAAAGTCGCTTTAACTGTTGGAATTAGCGATTTTGAGGTGATAGGTAATTTAACGTGAAACGCTTTATTAAACCGACGTATCTAGAAATTAATTTTCTGGGAGTAAAACAATGATGGACAACAAATTGCAAACCGTATAATCCACGTATACACATTTATTGCACCATTTCAAAAGTGCTTGTTAACTTAAAATGACAAAAGCTTACCTCTTCCAATACCATTTCAAATCCTTCCCTATCTCTGATTTTCTCGTAGAAATATCTGTAAAATAAACAGTGAATTTTGCTATTCAATATCGCGATTTTCCTGTTTTAATTGCACTACATTCATTGGTACGCTTATCGATTCTTAGTTGTTCGCTTTCAACAAGTTTTTTTGTATCGATTCATTGATTGCCATGTTTTCTAAATCGAAGACAGACGCAGGAAATTCTACTAAACCTCCCATCGATTGCAGACTAGTGTCCAAGTGAACGTGAAAAAAGCTAGGCCATAGGGTTTGATGTCAAGGCTCCACAATCCCCTTTTATTACTTTAACTTGAATAAACCTATGACTGGCAGTTATTATGAACGCGAATCTGCCTTCTTGCCATCATGTAGTTGATAATCACACTTCATATCGCACATCTTTCTGTAATACTAGTATAACGGCAAACAACAGAATAACACTATATGTATGCTGGTTGTTGAACATCGTGAGTTCGTTGCTGATGCATTATCATTGAGTGTTATTTGCATACCGAAATCCGGTTCCCATACTTTCTACTATAGTATATACACCTAGACCCACGGCTAACCCCCAAAATGACACATACATGTTAGCCCGATGAAATTGCCGTTAAAATTCGAATTTCGAACAGTCGATGACTATTTATTTTGGAATCAATACAGCCAGAACCACAAATGCCATTAACAACCACTCCTGTATTTGATTCAGCTAATGTTAAATTGTATTAGGTTTCAATGTCAATACTATCTAATTGAAATAATTGGTAAATCCATTCTACTTACTTTGCAAGGTCGTACACTAAATTGATCTGGGTTTCTAATCCGATGCTTCCCTGCAAAAAAATAAATCAATGAAGTGGATTGAATTAACGAGTTGTTTATTGAGGATGTTCAAATCGGCGCATTTTTACGTGTGTACTGATATATATGTGGTAAACAAATAACTTTTCTGTGTTTCTCAGAGCAAAACCGATGTGATCACGGTATTAGTGTATTTCGCAGCGGGGTTCGCTGCTTGGTTCCGATTTTATATTTCTCAACCCATCAATTTATTCTGCTTCACTTGTCAATATGTGCCAATGACCTACGTTATGCTAATGATGTTCACATGATATGAATTATTCAGATCTGTTAGCGAGAACATGGTAACGTGATACACGTGTCCTGGGGCAATACCCTAAAACCCCAGAAATAAGAAGAGAAAATAATCACATTTTCGACCAGTTCCAATTTTCGTTCTTTAAATTTAATTCTAAATAGCAAGACCTTGTGAAAGGAGTCCACAATTGTTAATTTAGTCAACTTTACAGAGATATGTGTTAGTTATCATTTTTTAAAAATACAACTGAAGTGTAATGATTCGATTCTTATTACGTAGTAGAAAAACAATTGAAACGCCTACACAAACAATTTGAGATGTTAAATTGAAATTGCTCAAAATTTGAGGAACAAAAACTACGATAGGGTCCGCGTCTGATGTTATTGTTTGCGCATAAAAATTATGTTTGGTTTTTTTCTCACCAAAACACAGTGGTGTTTTAGTTTACTATGTTTGTTTATATATATACCTTTGTATATATACATTTCATAGCAAGGTTAATTTGGCATATATTTCACCTACTGTGGGTTTAGGTATTCCAACAAAGTGTACACACCATTTATAATACTATAAACCTAACTGCGTCGTATCAGCGAACTACTCTGACAGGAAACTGAACAACTTGCACTGCCACAGGTTACTCACCTTTCCTTTCCACATCAGCCATAATTTGAACACGTCAACATGCCGACCACATTGTATTGCTTTGTCGCCGGTGTCATATGACAAATCGTAGTTTTTATCCTGTTGGAACAAATACCTCGCCTTCAACTCGTTGCAGCTTTCAAGAATACCCTGGAATCGAATTATTTTTGAGAATGTATAGTTGATGCTTAGTAATTATGCAAATAAATTACATTTTTAGATATCTGTAGACAACACCGATTGATGTATGTGGTAACATCTTATAACGATAAAACCTGTTATGTATGGACATTATATTGATAAACGTAGTATTGACTTTGAAATGTCTATCAATAAATACTTACATCGTGTTTTAACAGGAGTGCAGAACACTGAAGTAGAGCTCCCATAAGTTTGTGTGGATTCCATGTAACTGAGTCCGCCCTGTAGAGGAAAATAATACGAATGTATATCACATTGTATGATTGTTCACTATATATAGTGTATATATGTCTTATGTTGTACTATATGTGTTTTGACAACTTGTATCCGTTCGTATGTCAACCATGGAAAGTTCGAGAAGGTACTGAGGTTCGGGCGAGTGCCTTCTATTTATTTTTATAATATTTAAAACCCCACCTGTGAACTCCTTCAAGTAGAGATCTGTGTTTCTTTGAAAGAAGAGCTCCTCCGCCCCATGCAGCCTGTAGAAAAATAGACATACACGATGATGAATTGCCCGATTATTGAGTATATTAAGTCGACAAGTTTTATATTAACAACATCGGTTCAACTTCAATCGATTGCGTCTCAGTGTCTCCAAGGGCAGCATACGTGTAATAACGCAATAAATTAGTTGTGTAATATACAAGGAATATTATTCACTTGGCGCCGTCATTTTGACATGCTCCCACTCTCCTTAACGATTATTGTCATTTGAGTACACGAAACATATCAAACCAATAAAGCGAGAATTTCCTTTGGTAAATACTGGCGGCAACGTTTAGTGCGTATGAATGTAATTTGTCAGGGGATATTACGGTACTTACGTCAACGTGCATCCATATATTGTACTGATCGCATATATCGGCTATTGCGTTAAGCGGATCGAATGCGCCTAATACAGTTGTTCCGGCAGTTGCACTCACAAAGAAAGGCGTGTCTCCCTACAACGAAAGCAGTAAATGAAATTAAACACTTGGATCCTAACATAGTTCCCGGCACTAGCATTAGCGTTATTATATGTCACTGGCCGTATTCGGTGTTCGATATATCGTGAAGCGCTGCCTCACTCTCTCGTGTACTTTTACCCCCGCTCATTGAACATGCTACGTTTAACATCGGTAACGAAAGAACATCTTTATATTTAATGTAAAGAGGGAATGCACTACAAATATGTTAACATGAACAATCCAAATTGAGCATACTACGTGTTTCAACATTTCACTGTTCAATGGTTAACCACTGTTATACATGCACGAGTTAGTTAAATTGTAAGCTAAGCTGAGACGTGGCTAAAATTAGATAATAGCACACAAAATAATTTTAAACACAATTTGCATTACAACAACATTTATGCATTCCAAGTACTACAATATATAATCAGAAGTAATTTTTCGCTCGATATCGATTGATGCGTTGACTTACTCGAGCTTTGGTTTGTTGTACTTTGCTTTCAAGATCCGATGGCATCATTTTACCCCTGCGTGATAAAGAAGCAATTTAAAGTGAGTTAATCATCTCTGGAACTTGTGTGTGCGGTTTACATTTTATTCGGGTATATATGAACAGATACATAGAGTGTGTATACGTTTTAAAGTGGTGAAACAGTTGACAGCCAGGAATATTCTTGTCTGCTGATAGAAATCAATTTCATGTATAATGTTTAATGAAGCAAACCATGTATTACTAATGGGATCGAATAAAACAAGTTACTCCAGGGAGATGGACAGCATAGACACGGAGATGTTCAACTAAAAAAAAAACGTTTCAGATGAAATAAAAAGTCTTGTGATGATATTTCTAGTGAAGAACAATGAGTGTTGCCGGAAGAGCTGAAGATCAATTATTTAAACCATTCGCCTCACTTCACACCTCCCCCTTTCAGTTATCGATTGTATTATTACCTTTGATCACAACGTACGGGAATCACGTTATCTGTTCCGATACCCAGTACCGCCGCAGCTCCTCGTAATGAGTAATGACTCTATGAAAGTAGCAATGAAATGTGGTGTGAATACTCAAGTAACTACGGTAGCTGCACGTACATGCATTAGAAATGATATCATTAACCGTGATGGGTTATACATAGATGGATACAAACAGTACGTGGCTTTTAATAATGCTCGCACAGTAAATCGTATATTGAAGCGAGACAGTTCTCATCTTTCGCTTAGCATTCCGTTGATACGTATTCTCTCGCTTCATTACCTTCATTTGATAATTGAAATAAAAGTCTTTAGACAAATAAATGGCGTCATCATGGAATAAAATCTACTAATATCCTTCGGGCTGTTAATGGTACCACCGACCAAAGTTGGCAAATATACCACCGAGGTAGTTTCCAACTGACGTCATCAATGCGGCGCACGCATGCGCAGCCATGCTCCATGGCAAACATTTATGTCTACTGAACATTCATGAATTACATTTGAATATCATATGTCACGTGTCAATACTTACGTGTTCTGATGCAAACATAACTAGTCGTGAAACAGACTGCATTCCTTTGGTTTTACAGTCAGGTGCTAGTTTATGGCGAGCTGCGTTCACGGCATATAAATTAGAGATAGCACCACCTTGGGAGAAATAATCATAAGATACAATCAGTTCCCTATAATTACTAGAAGAAACTAATCCTATCCCATTAGAGCATGTCCCTTGGTGTTGGTCTGTACAAATTATAGTTATTACTAAGTAATCGTATTAAGTAATGTGATTTACTATAAGAAGGTCGCGATAACACCGTGGTCTAGTCAGCGGACCAGAGTCGCCATTAAACGCAGACCGATTAAAGATAGATTCCAACCCGGGGCTTACACTATGGAAAACCGACAAGTAATAGAGATCCACTGCGTGATTGACACATCGATAAGAATGAAGATGTTCGTATAATGAGTGAGTATGAGAAGAGATAGCTGTTAGGACAAATACGAGCGCCACTCAGACAAGTCTCTTTTTAAGCAAATCTACGTATTGTCACGTTTTCGTTATTATGCGCCTCCGTAATTGTTCTTGAAATCGTGTAACGCAACGTGAAATAGCCTACTTTGTGAATCGCAACGAATAAAAAGATCTGAATTAGGATGATTTAGTGAAGCAATAATGGCGAGATTCGGTAAGAAAACCAAATGACAGACGGTGATATTCATTACAAGTGTGTATTAGTTGATGACGTGACGGGACTGTCGTAGCATTGACGACAGCGAGTAAAACACAATTATAGAGATTTGGTTTGTTCAATATATACGCCAATTAATGACAATCCTTGTCTAAGTGTATTATCGCTTATCATGCGTGACACTTCGAATGAACTAGCAATTCGAGTAGATTCTCCAGTTTGCCATGAAAGTATTTTCTACCTCAGTTAATTTGCTGTACTACTTCTGAACGTTTCTTCGTGGACTACGAATCTACGAATCGTATATATACGCGTAGTTTACACATTCTTATGTATGCTTGGTGAATATCAGAGGTCACGTGTACGTTACGCATTGATAATCACGTTGAAACGTGATATCACAGAGAAATATAGACTTTCAGGACTACAAAGAGTTTATAATTACATTTGTATTTGGCAAATGTACGAAAGTATAGCGCTGACTAATCAGCACAAAGAGGGTCACAATAAAAAATAAAGATATTACCGGAAACATCCGGGCATTTATACCGCCTGGTAACCATCACCAGTGACAACAACGATTGAAAACTCTTTAAAAACTGTATCTTGGGCTAGTTGTTTAGACTCCCCTTGAACAGTGTAATAAGATTTCCCCTACATGTACAATATATATAAATTTGGTTGTTCAAAATTATCTCATAGTTGAGTTTATGCTGTTGTCATGACTTCAGCTGATTTCACCGGTTCTTGGCCATTCCACAGCAGCGTAAACAGAGCTTATACAAATACGCGGTACAGTGGTGCGCGTCTTAGCAACGTAGAACGTTCTGTGACGTAACTTCGCCCCGAGTATAGATTGTATTATCGTGTATGCTCATATTATTATCAATTTCCCATGGTAGACAAGAGCCCTCCAATCTCCTATACCTACATTATGATCAGTGGTGTGTGAAATCGAGGAATGTCAGTTGGTGATTATGCATACACTTGGAGATTCTTACACTGTCCTCTGTCTGTATTTTGCACTGTGTATAATTTTATATATGTAATAGGCATGCCCATAATGCATCACGAACACATGTGTTAGAATACACCCACGAATCATGACCAATTAATTTGCATTTTGTTCATACAAATCATTCCAAAATACGTCTACAATCATTTCGTATAGTGAGGATATCCGCACATGTAATAATGTATATATAATATAAAGAACACGACAATGAATGCACAATGTATTACTTCTGTTCAACACTACTCCACATTCTAGAACAATTCAAACCAGTAAGTGTTTTGTCCAATCTACGGTTCACATATATGTAACATTTATATTTAGACAAAACCCCGCTAAATTATTGACACGTTTTTCAGGACGCGTTTCAACGGATATAATTTCAATAGAAGCGTGCCGTCTTTTTATACATGTCAAAGCAGTCCATTAAAACACTATGAATAACATTGGCTTCCGTTCTAATACAATGAACGAATATAAATACTTCAACTGTCCAGTATATATCCAGTGTCTTATTTACCTGGAGCAAATATTCCATCACCATCTTCAAAACCGATTAAATCTCTCATTTTCTTTAAAATGACCCGTTCCATTAGCGTAAACACAGGTGCTATTTCGTAAGTAAATCTACAAGGAAAAGATATGAGTAGAAAATCAACACATGGTATTGGTAAAAGAGTATCATTCCCTGTGCATTAGTAGTCTCACCGTGAATAATCGATATCCTTCCACTTTATGCTATCTCATATTTCAATTAAAATGACAACAAATATAACCAGGAAGTTCGCAATCTATTTTTGGATAGCCGACAGCTAGATAAATGACCGTTATCAATTCTGATTCAGTTATCCGGAAAATGAACAGCGATTTGCATTCTTGCTGATGAGAAGCCACAACAATTGGTGTCTGTCATTGTAGCACAAAGTTTTCCAGTATGAAGGAACTGAATTATGCGCAGAGACAGGCGCAGATTTGAAGAGAAAAAAAAACAATCAGTCAAGTGTATTCTGGGACTTTGGCTTGTACTAGCACCGTTGAAATGAACTATGTAAGTATTTATCATATGCGGGTGATGTTGCGGATGTAATAGCGTTTAACATTGATGGCTAAAAGGACAGAGTAATTGTTCAGAAACGAATATGTCCTGATTATATTTACTCCCGTGTACGTACATGTTAGTGTTGACAGCTGCCGTTAACCATTCACCCGCCAACGACACGATATCTAAGCCACTTGATAATTGATTAAAGAAACGAGGATGGCCTGTTGAAAAAAAACAAAATAATGAACGATTCCATTAGCGTGACTCTGATTGTTTAAATCTGTGGAGAACCTGAACTACTGATTCGTTCCGTACTGTACATATATTGAAATTATGATGATGGTTTTGATTATCCCACAACAAACATTTTCCAGTTGCTGCAATGGTGTAGCTGACACGTATTCTATTGGGAGATTCAGTTGTCGGTTTGTTGAAAGATATATTTATTCTTACATCCGAATAAGTTTGACAGTTTTCTAAATCTCACGATAGATTTACAACGATTCAATACTATCTGGTATTAATATATAATTGCACGCGAACTTGGTTAGTATAATATAGCATTGAATGGGAAGCATATGACAATATTTTCATACATAAATGAAAACAACATTGCTAGAATATTGAGATCGCATTGTATCAACGTATTCTCTCAGTTCGTGACTAGCTGACAACGTAGATCGATGGCATCGACCCACGAACCAAGATGGTAATCAATGCGCTTCTTATAAACCAGGGAATTCGTCATTCTTATCATGGCAATACTTGTTTGGAATGCGAAATTAATACTCATGGGAGGTGCAAATACAAGTTGTCATAATCAGCGACGTATAACCAACCATACCATAGTAACATGTTACTAATATATACATGTAATTTAGGTTGAATGTTTTAGCTCACTACACAAACACGAGATATTCGAAAATGATGTAAATTTGTTTGTGTCATTGAACTTTTCTGAATTGTATATATTTATAATCAATACACTAGTATGTACGTATTTGGAGCACTATATGTATAGATTTACCGAGTGTGTTTAGATCAGTTATATTTTATATGGCTTTAAGAAGCAGCACCATTATCGACACTAAAATTGGCATTCGTTCCCTATACAGATACAACACAGGGTTGCCATACAAATTTTGTAATTTTACAAATTCACAAAATGACTGTCAGGTGTCACATTCTTTCTGGCCGTGCCAGTGCGTCAACGTGCGTTTTTGTTATACCATTATTTTATAGTGTGTAGCTCAATTTAATCACATGGAATATTGATGCTTAGCATTTATATTCTTCATTTTTTGCATATTTACGGATATCGGGTCGTTAAGAATATCATGCCAGACCTGCAGGCAAGTAACAATGATGGTTCGAATCTCTCGTGCAACGTAATTTGTTTAGAATATTCGTTCCTGTAGATCACAGAAAGATGACATAAGATGGACAATCTGTTTAGATTTGATTGAAAAACACAGTTAGTGACGACAGACAAATATTACAACTTCAAACAAAGTAACTATAATAGAATAACGAATCATTCACGTGATTGCTTTGCCCGAAGCTAGATCGTTTTTCTTTCCAGTTGAAATCGATTTGTTCTATGCAGATGAGTGAATATATTAAATAAAATCTGAATTCAATACCCCAGAACACTCCAGGGCGCAGTAGAAAAGTTGCAATCAATATCACCGTGAGCTATGTACCATTTTGATTGCAGCTCAAACAATATGCCCGACAGTGTGACGAGATAATTGAACGAATTCCTGCAATAATAAAAAATAGTTTGTTTGTTACTTCGTATATCGAAACACCCCGGTCAACACATGTCTTGCCTCGTCTATAATACATCCCTCTCTGCTTCATTTTAATAAAGAAACGAGCAGTCCCTTGGGTGTAGAGAATTTGATGTACGTTTTGATGTTTTTAACCAATGCACATCTCAGCTTGCACAAGACAACACTGACATATTCATTTCACTGTGCAGTGTTCTGCTGTTTGTCATAATCACAGCTTTCATTTTTTTCTCACACAGGGGACATTGTTGATTTGTTAATCATTCGTGCTAGGATACCCAGCTACACGACGCAACCTTGAGCTACATATAACAGCTAAAATAACTGAAATGAGCAGTGCAAGCTCGCTATACACAGCCGACGGGATAGCAACACCCCAGTAATCCCCGTGCGTGCATACCGCCAGTGGAAGCTCAGAATAAAAGAAAAGCTTCTTACAAATTTATTACAAATGGCTGTATTCTTGAGCATTGTACTTGAATCCACATGTGTATCATTATATTTATTCTCCTATCAACTCAGATGACTCCAACATAAAGGGACCGATTCAATAGACTGAAAATCTAAGCCCCACATTATTTTTTTCTCATTCAAATCAGTTCACTTATTATGAGTGCTATCTAAGGCAGGCTTGTGTCTCGGGAATTAAGACATTGGTGACATCATAATTCCATTAGTGCTACAAAAGATTATCCCTTATTTTTAATCGCCGTCGCCTTGTTGACCTTCCGGGCATTAACTAAAGGTCTGTAGTTATTTGTAATGGTTTCGACGCATGGACAACCTAAGATGTGAATGCTATGCAAACATATACAGGTCTACAGATAGTCTGTGCGGATTTTCGAAAAAAAATTGGCGAGATGAGAACTTTTTATACGAATGAATTATAACTCTCACCTGTTTTAACACAGTACATTAATGTTTCCTGGCAGTCTGTCAGTAGCTGTTCCAGTGTTACTGGTTTATCTGTAATATCCAGCTGCAGTTTTTCTCTGAGTTCATGTGGCTGGTGAAAATCGAGTACCTTTGTTTCAGGAATCTGTTCTTGTTTGATGTACTCAATTAACTGATCGACAACTTCTTTTAGGAACTTTCCAGTCAGTTCGCTGGAACCTTGTGGTAAAAGCTCTGGAATGTGATGAGAAATGTTGTGTGAATATACAAATATAAAATATAAAAAAATCAAATGGCAGTAGCTATGAACAAAATGGCATGGCCAGGCGTAATACAGCAATCGACACACTGAGGGATTGCTTACAGCTGACAGCTACAACGAGTGGTCGTTAGAATTTAGAACTTCTGACTTAAACCACAGCGAAAATATCAAAAGATTCAGCAATCATACTGCTTAGTGATTAACTAAGTTTGATTTACATGAATATAAAAGTCTATAATATGCTCTGTCATTCGCTCATTACTAATGCAATGCATTCCACGTGGCATTGCAAAGCCCTCTCGGTATGCAATAACTTGAAGGCTTTTACTACTAAGGTTGGTGTTGTGAATTCGAACCTCCTCATTTTGCCAACGTTTTTGATAGTTGAGAAAGAACTTCATCTCTTCATCAAATCCACATGTTGCACCTTGACTAAATCTGTCTTAATCTTGATACAACGTTTGAGTTACAGTGGAAGTTTACTTTTTGACTTGTCTCATTTAGTTGTATGCGGGTATTTAACTGTACTGAATTGCACATACTATAATTTGAATACAGGTCTTGCATCTATTAAAAATAATCCATCGAGTGATAGTGGGTAGCTGTTTATTTTGCCTTCACTGTAAATAAAGTGTGTTACTTATTTTTAATCGGTTGGACGAATCATGAAAATTCTAATTACTCACTTCGATCATGATTGGTGGTATATGTTGTCAATTCGGCGAATCATTAACATTATGTCCATGCAAGTCGTGAACCCCTCGGTAAATCACCATGCTATCTCTGCGTGCACAATCGCGTTTTATTCGGTACAGCAACTAAAGGAATTATATGTAATGTATTGCAAGGTATAGGTTGCTCTAACCCTGATAGCAAAACTGTGAACGACTCACATGTAATCGGTTCCAATGCCAAACATGTATAACTTATGCAAGCAAATATATTATTATTTAACATTCACAAATTCTGTGTATATTACTGAGTACTTGTCAATTCAGTGTGTGTGCACTGAATTGTAAGTTGGACTATCAAGTAAATAGCTACTGTCTGTTTAATCGCAATCCTTCTTTTCTAAAGATTATCTACAGCTTTCGGGAATATCATCAGTTCCTTCCTAGGAGAATAGTAAATCCATCTGGCACCTGCTCGCAGAGCGATCGTATCTTTTTGAAAATTTATGCAACTCATAAAACAGCATTCAACGACGATTTGATATGATCATAAAAGCCAGGTGTTGACATAATCTTGACAGCTAGGACACGCTAGCGAGACAGCGACAAAGACAATCATTCTTAAACGTGCTTTAGTGGGAAATACAAGTGTGACAGTTTTGTTTTATTGAATAACTAAACAATAAATTAGCATATATTTTATAAATCAGAACATTTATATACATTTCATTTATATACTTTAGTGTAGATAATAACAAAGCGTGAACGTTAATTTATTGAGTATTGACAATGATTCTGCCAGTGTCCAATATAATGAGGATGTGCGCTTGTTCAGTATTAAATATTACGAGTTTCCATTCAAAATGATTGTATTCATAACAGGTAAACGATTACATTATATTACAGTCTGTTCTTTCTTCATTTATCTGACATATGTTGTCAACTTTTTTTTGGAATTCTCAACGTAGGAAAATATCAAAAATCCACATTGACTCGAAGCATATATACAAAGCAGAATTTGATACATCGAATGTCAACAAACAAGCTGATTTAGATTTGGGGGGGGGGGCGTTTAACCAATCAGGCACAAGTTTGTAATTAGCTTCATATTTACTCAACACCCAAGCATATGCTAATCATTTGTCATCGTCTATATAACTATTGATTACTTTCTTTTACAAATGTAACTAATTTCAAGAATGTGGTGTGAAGGTTCTTATCGTTGGTATTTCCTTCCTGAACGACGTCAAATTTGTAACTCTACTGGATTCATACAAAGCATTTTATGTAAGAATCTAATAGTAACCGGCACCATGTAGCTACTAACGGAACTGTGATAGTTGATATTTATGTGTCGACTATTCTGATTCATTTATTCAGTCGTTCACTAAAATAGCTGTGTAATTCCTCGTAGCAACTATATGTATACGATATTTGTTACGAATTGTAATCAGCAAAACTATATAATAATTAGTATAAACATTTCAGAAATTACAGTATTAAAGTAACACTGAGAAATAATAACATTCTTGTATAAGGTAATTTCAAGCATCTCAAAAACTGTTCAATCATATGTATATTCTAAAATTTCAATACGAAACCTTATTCTATTTGGTAAACAAGAATTGATTCGTGCTTGGAAGGATTCAAGAACGTTGTTTGATATACCTTCAACCGTGTGTTCATTACATTCTGCACGCCAGCGGCTACATTTCCTGGAACACACCGGCCCAATAACGAGGATACTAATTATTCTGATCAGTTGTTGGCGGATGTTCTCTTTATAGACAGCTCTGCGATAAATGATTTCCGATAATAACGAGTGCAACTGGCGATTGTTTCCGGAACGAGTTGTATCTGTCCCTGAAAGCAATTAATTTCTGATGTCCCTTCAGGTGATGTTACCTTATGTGTCTAAACTGATCACACAAAGTTGTTGTATTGTCACACGTTCGTTTGCAGCTGCCTCATCGGAAAAATAAATAAAAATCAACGTCATTTTAAACAACTCGAAACATTGAAGTGATAATATTAAATTAGAAATGTTTATTATATTGTACTACATCTACTTAATGACGTGTACACAGACCACATGCAAATAAAGTGTCGTCAGCTGCTTTATGTATTTTCTATAATTTTTAATTTTACATGAAAAATAATTTATCGGTTTATTTCATAAAAGGTGACAAAAATGATTTTCAGATTGGCGTCCAAATGGCTAATAGTCAAAATATCAATTATCCCATTTAACATTAGGCCGAAATAACCTTTGTATGGCAAAATAAAATAAAATAAAATAAAATAAATAAAATAACATAATAAAATAAAATAAAATGGTACTGTCCACACTGTACATGGCTATGGCTAAATTTTACATTGGCATGTCTGACATACCATATTTAGCATAATATTCAATCTATTATAAATCTAAATAAAATTTCAATGCGCTTAAACAATAAATAATGATGTAACGGAATTTGAAGGTTTGTTTCGTCGGATGTTCATTAATACACAGTCAACGAGAGGAAATCGCTTATTTGCTACATCCGTTTATGATCCGTTTTCGATATGTGACAAGACTCATCCACTAAAATAATAACTCGCGAGCTGATAGTATTAGTTCTCGCGTGACATGGACACATTATATAACCTTAGGCTAAGACTATGTAAAATCCGGCAGCAATTACTATTTTTAAAATAACCGCATTGATCAATTTATACTAATTCTTGACAAGTGTAATCAACTAATGTAACTGTCTCTGTATATTACGCAACGACGATCGGTCTTCACATAGTTAACTGTTTTCAAGGTAACCAAACACGCCGCCTTAATCAATTAATGAGTACATTAATATATGTTATTTACATTTTGACACGTTTAAATTACTTGTACCATGTCGACGTTTGATAAACGGGAATTATAGTGTGGCGCTGAATACGATTACAAAATTGCGTAGGTCTATCATCGCGTTCGATTCGACTACGAGGTATGCACACAATACGACAACTGTTTTGCGTTTATTGCTGAGTAATTTGTGATACGGTAACCAAGACAACGCTTAATTATAATTGAGATGCGGAAAATGCGCTATAGTGAACAGTACATATTTGAATGGTAGTAAATTAGTATTCGATAGATAGAACTTTGTATGTGTTGAGTTCCGGCTACCATTCCATATCCTGCTTAATATTGCAGTGGTAAAAATACTGTTGCGGATGAACACAGCATTATATCGTGCTAAGATACATTTTAATATTTTACCGCATAAACGCCAAATAATTTAAAATTGTCGGATTCCTTTTTTGAATTTCTTTTTGACATCTTCGCTAAGTGCGATTTATTTCTACCCAATTAATGCTGCTACCTGGCAACGGAAAATGTATAATGAAGTAATAAAAGAGAAACACGCGGGGAGTCATACATCTTACATGCAACTTACTCGTTTTTTCTATGAAAAAAAAAACCTTCAAGGGTGTGTGCACTCAAATATAATATATGAATGTTCTAATAGTTATAATGAATTGTATCAGCTATGGCATCGTCAGTTGATTTTTTGTTAGTTTTATATGTGTGAAGCTAAAGACCTGTAAACTTCTCACCAGAGTCAATTTCCGTTACAAAACATTATGGTTTTTAATGTGTATCTGTGTGTCAGTGAAATTACACGATCTCAATCACTGCGCACCAGGGAAAAGCAATGAATGCATAGAGAGGTATATTCCAGGAATATAGGCTTTAAAACGTTGTCAGATTTTAGATTGAGTCTTAATGTTACTCGTGTAAAATATTGAATGAAGTATATGAATGCACGTCATAAAACTAGTGTGATATTTCGTGCAAAGCTTCACCAATAATATTCATACAAATGAAAACCGGTCGATTTTTAGCATCAAGGCTAGAAACAATATTATTTTCGATTAGTAGGCAAGGACAAATACGTACAAAGCGTTTTGTTCGTAATTCATGTGTATGTCGATTTCAAGTCAATTAAACGAGTGATTTGAAATGATTAAATATGTTCGAAAAAAATTATTTTGTGATTCACGTAACATCATGAAAATTAACAGAAGCATAGTCATCGAACTCTGAGTTTTCTTTTGTAAAAAATAAGGTCACCATACGACGTTATACTATTTCACATCGCTGAACACATTCAAGTCAGACTGCAATTACCATTAAACAACCCGCACAGCGAAATGACAAATAACGTTCGATCGCTTCTTTTTATCATTCTCGTTACAAACCACTTGCAATAGAATCCACAAGTACTATCGAACGTGCGAAGCCAATAACCGTTAAAACAAACAAAGCAATCGTGGAAATAACACTTGATTTACTCGCTTTCTTTCACTGTTCTTTGTGCATTGCCGTTCATTCAATTCAATTACTGTATTCTCTTAACGTTTGTACTCCATTAAACAATGCAATATACATTTCCTGCGGCGGCTGAACGCGTTGATCACACTGATCATGACATGTGGATAGCATATGGTAGTTATTTCGCTACGGTGCAGACCACTAACATGTGTCTTACGTAATGGGGAATGTGAAGTAATAACTTAAACACGTGATTGTCATCGCATTATTAATTATTCAACTACTGTTTTACCATTCGAAGTCGAGAATTTGTCATACATTAGTTAGGAATGTCACGAAATGTATTGTGTGTCTTCTAATCCTATCAAACCGAACAGTTATTTCAGGGAATCAAACCAATTGTGGACTCTAATAAAATGTCGATAACTGACAAATCAAAATTTATGTTATAAATTCGAAGGTTTATATACCACGTATTGTGTCTACAGAATTCCCAATCCTTGAAGTGTGCGTCATCACCATGGTAATTTATGATTTTATCACGTTTTACATCACAAGAAATATGTTTTATAATCTAATAGTTGATTCTGGTTCTAATGGCTATTCTGGGGATTTTTTATGTTCTATTATAAATGGCTGCCTGAGAAAAGTAGTCCAAATAAGTGAAACTTGCACAATAGACTAATGTGCAGTCGTTTCTTCATTTCATGTTCACTTGAGTGGTTACTGGAAATGCCAAAATATCACGAATTCACAGCTGCTTGCGGTTCTGCTATTCATTTGCAAAATACATCACTTTTCTGTGACATACAGATTACGACGTCATGTAGGGAATTTCCGTGCCTGACTCTTTTATCAATGTTTATTCATTCGATTGTATCGTTATGCCGTATTGGCGTGTGTATTTAAACTGAGTCGCTCTACGCGCAGCATACAGACGAGTATTCTAATATTATTTCAAAAAATGAAATATATGTATTATATATTATATTGCCGTGCCTTTGAATTCAACTATTCACCCTCGTATTGTCTGAATTCCAATCATTCCTTCATTAGCAGTGCAGTGTACGTTATATCTATAGCTCTGTATTCGTGATCGCTCAGTGTGAACTGATTGCTGCGTTACCTTCATATGTATATATATTGTATTTTTTTTTTGCAAATAAACAACCTTAGTAGAATTGATTTCGAAACAACGTAGATGTGAATATAACGTGAACAATGCACCGTTCATCAGTATATTCTCACAAGGAGGTGCATTCGATCAGCATTGCTTTGGAGCTAAGGGAATGTCGTAGCAGGTACACAAACCCTTTCTGTCGCGCTTTTCACTTTGTGATGGGCATGAAGCTGGCTTATCGTATAGTACATTAATTATTTTATAATTTTAGAAACACGGGGTATTTGGACTATGGTATTATGAGTCAGTAATGATATGACAAGAACGACTTCCTATTTCAAAATAAAATTAGGAATATATCTATGATAACATTATTCTTACCTCTGGCATATATTGTACTAAAGTCAGGTCTATCGGGACCAGAGTGATCTCTTCTGTATCCGCGTAGCTTCGCCAAATTCTCGCCATATCTGTTTGATGTATGGTTGGTCGTATCGTCAAGACTCATTTTTCGGCTAGCCATGTCCTCTGTTATTAGCGCTACATTTTTCTCAGATTCCGCTTCATAGTCGAAGCCTAAATCAAAAGACATCATTGAGTTGTCAAACCCGTGCAAATATAAACAGAGTAGGAACGTGTAGCACGTTTTCTATGCTGAACACAAATTGTCTTCAAAGTTCTGATTGTTCAGCCAAGTTGCGTATTTTTTCTTGATGTAGGTATCAACTCTTCTATCGTTAATGACAAAATGATTATCGTTCTAACTTCTCTCTGCTTTAAATACATACTAATGATGTATATGCCATACTCGTGACGTCAGAACACTCATGAATATGTAAGAGGCAGTGGTCCTTTGATAGTGTAAGTATTCATGAGGCGATTGGTTGATAACCTGGCAACAACTGATACGCATTTCCGATGATGTAGATTTCAAAGTTATAAGTCCCTAGCTTTGTGGATTTTTCTTACAAAGTTTAACGAGACAAATATGCTGCTGAATCCACATAGACTATGCATTCTTTAAAGGGAGGAGGTCGTCGCGCGTGTTCGAAATTCATGTAAACAATGTATTTTACACGCGTTGTGTGCGTCGCTATGAGTTCCATGTCGAACAGGACGCGGTGCGACGGCCTTCGCACTTTAACAGCGAAAATGAAGATTTTCATACATATAATGTTATCGATTCCCATAAATACATTCAAAAATATTAGTTTTAGACACAAATCTATACACATTTATGTGTGTAGTGTCATATTTTGACATGGTGTGAACGAACTTATACATAACAGGATCTAGACACACTAAATTTGCCACAGTGAATATCAAAGGGAATGCAAACACACACATAAATATTAGTCCAATTAATCAAGTCCTTCGAGTTGAAATCACGCACGCTAAGGAGCCTTGTCGAAGCACAGAAAAGCGAAGTTTGAAACTGTCATGAAATATGCTGGAGATAATTGACTTGGGATTGATTGTACACACCAAACATGACTACACAGCTGCACACTCACTATAGTCGCCAAAATCGATGGTATAATTGACGGAAATCGGCGATACGTCACGAAAAGGGAAAGTCGAGGATGAGAGTTGGTCATTAGTGGGGGATTGGAATCATGTTAGTGGGCGTGGCCAAACATGTTAATCATTGTTGATATCACTCATCGTATGGTAATCGATCTGCGTATATGCAAGTAAGAGTAGGTGCGGATTTATATTATGTGCACTACGGTTAGGAAAATTACTCAGTTCGGTGTGTGTGCGTGTTTACTAGAATCACTCGATGGCGTGAAATCGAATATCTTCTTTGAGAAGTTTCGATTTAACTGCAACGACGGCATATCAAATGATTACTGTAAGCAACGATTTGAATAAAGATTATACAGATGTATTGCTGCGTTTTGTAGACAATGCCTAGCGCACTTAATCCGAGAAACTAATGAACACAGTGGCCCACGGTACCTCGTTATAGAAGCATATTTTAATATATACTACGACGAATGCCAATGCAATATTTAAAGAGCATGCTTACATCCCTTTTGCTTTAGTCCGCATGTGTGTCTGGCATTGTTCTTGTGCAAATGTATATTTAGGTTTGTGATATAAAACAACTAGCCACAGATAGCAATACTTTGTATGTCGGTGAAGACTAACTATCAAAACCAACAGTGCATGAAAATGCTGAATACAATATTTTGTTCAATGCCAAATAGTCTCAGTAAATTATTTAAACCAAAAGACTGTTAGCTAGGTTAGGTTAGCTAGGTGGAGTATGGTGGGGTTGGCTAATCGTGTTATATGCAAATATTTCCTTGTAATCGTTCTAAATTCTTGAAAACTTTATGTTACTGCTACAACAAATGTCTGAAAGAGCCTTTAAATCATTATCAATATCAATATATGTCTACATGTCAGTGCAAGAATAAATAAATAAATAAATAAATAAATAAATAAATAAATAAATAAATAAATAAATAAATAAATAAATAAATAAATAAATAAATAAATAAATAAATAAATAAATAAATAAATAATGTATTAGCATCAGCGTATTTTCGAAACAATATCTGCTGAGTGGTGACATTAATATGGTAGTGATAAATAGAAAGACAAGGACAAGTCGTGTATTGCAAACTAAAATCGTATATTTTTTTAATTCCCTACCAAAGATCCAGATGCTTACGACATGTCTTCTATACAAGCACTAATTCGAACAAATTTTAAAACATTTCCAACTACGAGCCATTTTGATTGGGCATGGATATGGCCTTATTACGATTGCCAGGGAAAGCAATATATAAAAACCTCACTTGACATGTGTACGGTTGCCAATGTCTATTTCTAACTTAATCGTTTAGGTTCTCGTCAGAACACAGATTTAATGAGAATGTATCTTTCCCTAAATCTAATATAGCTGCTACAAAGTGTGTCAATCATATGAACCCTATTCCACAGAGATATGTTGTTTCATGCCCGGAAGTTATGTTTAAACAAACTTGAGTTCACGAGGTTACAGAGTGTGAGATCTCCTTATAGATGTCCGAAGAGACGGGGGTCTCTTTCGCGGCTACTTGGATGATGGTGTTTGAGAGTGTCTACACTCAAACCAAGTAACTTGTGAGCAATTGAATGAAGCTCGATGAAATGAAATTCTGAGTGGCAGCTTTATTAAGACGCACATTGCTACACGAATTCGTTAAATACATAGCCCAGGGAATTGCATGTGTCAACGCTCAGCTGAACTAACTGTACTCTGGATATGACTAATCAACATGCTTTTAGTTGCTGCTCTTTTTATTCTACGACTCTTTGTAAATCAGACATGACGAATTTTTTCCTACGCCCAAGGAGCAATTTACAAGACATTTGAGTGGTATTCCTACGTATCATTTCGTTCAAGGCTTGCAGCTGCCACCGAGTTCACCACATGTATTCTTACTCTGATTCGGTGTTCCTAGCCGGTAAGGTGGACCTATTGATAGAGTGGAAAATCGCGGATTGATCTCAGGTGCACGAACTGAACTAGACAGCTTAGAAAACTATATTTAGGGTAATTAACAGAAGTGGCTAATAATCAGTTGTGAAGATACCTAGTCTCAGCAAACACGTCAATAATAATAAAAGGATTAGGATAGTTAATTATTAAAGGGCAAGTTTTCCACTTTTGCGATTCCAAAACCACCGCCTTACGTCGATATAGCTGCTTAATTGTATAATACCATGAAATTAGAGACAAAATAATAATGATTATTTATATTAGTGTAATGTAACGGTCTTGTTCTCAAAAGTTCACAGAGCTCTCTTTGATCAAACTGAACATTGTAACATTATCGAAACTCAGTTAGCCGAACACATTTAGGATATGGGGCTTATCTCGGACAAATACAAGCAACAATTTTGTACACATCATTTAGTCGACACATGACAGAAATACAATGTGAACATAGAATCTAACCAAACTATTATAATTTTAACTGCAAATTACAATTAGTTGTGTGCATACTATCCATATAACGACATCTCAAGCAAACATCAGTGATGCACATTTCATGGAAGTCGATATTGTTAAAGGAAATCATATCTGCTGAGATGGTTATAATGAATAATAAATTTGGCGAGGTTAACTACACATTAATTACACATTATTACATTAATTACACATTTGGATTTTTGAATTTACGGATGATTATTTCTAGTAATGATTATATATACGTTTGATGTAACTACAGTTGGCACATTATGAACCCTCATGTTTAATACGCAAATAAACAACGCTTAATCTGGTAAATAATGGAATTACTCTAATACAAATACATTAAAATTACAATAGAAAAAAGATGGAATAACTATACGTGCGTAATATTGAACCTCAGCAAAGTATCCATTTGCTAGAATGTTGAAATTGACATTGGATCAATCATTTTTGATTACGTGAATTAAAAATAAGTCTGGGATATCCTTTCGAGAAATGTGAACAATATTCTAATCTTTTTTTGTGATTTAAAAAGCAAAATCTTGTCAAATGTTGGATAGCTAACTCTGATGACGACATACTGATCCCCGGGGTTTGTCTGGAAGCGTAGTAATTGCACAAAGTAGCTTCAGAAATCGACCTCATGATCGGCGTTCCTGTTCGTGATTCAGTACCTGGACAAGAGTTTGTTCACGACGAAGAAAATAATCTCACCTGATCGCAAACTTTACCAGTTAATGGCAAAAGTTCAATAGACTACATGGCGACAACAATCGTGATATAATGGATACCTCGTGACATAGTAATGAACTCTTTGAGTTTTTTCTTGTGCATCAATAATATAAATAATTATGTGTGTATACGACAAAAATATATTCCGACAAACGGGAAAGCGAAAAATATAAACAACATAATTGCAGTTTTCTTCCAGCTTGCCTCAAAGTCAAGCAGCGAAACGAGGAGTTAGCAATATGATACAATTATAGCTTCAAAACGATCCCAATATTTTTAATAACACTTTTAATGAAAGAGATGCAAACGCCATATTAAAAATATATTCTATAGAAAAAAACGTTGTCCCCAACTACCACACTTTAAGACACGAAGCTCTATCGTGGTACTCCCATGGTGCATTTCACTTATGTAAACAATTGAATAATTAGGTAAAAGATACAAGAATGTCCATGAGGATATCATTAGTTAAGTAATGTCGTATTCAGGTGTCTTTCATACAGAAAGCGGTAGACATAAGAAGCGATATACACCATGGGAGTACAGTCGTGTATGTAGGTTGTCATGGTAACGTGTTCCTAATTTGATAACTAGAAATAATTTTTAAATTACCTGTGAGTTATATTTTGCTATCCAGGGCGATACAACAGGGAATTCTTTCTGATCAGAAAACAACGATGGGTTTACCAGCGAAATTGAACTGTACGGAATATTCGATATTTTAAACGTAGCTGAGTTTATTAGCTTCAAAGGGTTTAAATGGATTTAAAAATCTCAACAAGATTCTTTTTGGTTTTCATAGGTCATACCCAAGGGAACATGTTAAGCCGGTTTATATTAATCGGTGCCGGAGCTCAGGTGATATAGTAATGTCAAATGGCAACATT